ACATCCTTTTGATGGCTCAGACCTTGGCGTCATTTGTTTGATTGCTCTGAACAGAATAAAAAGGCAAACAATTGCCAGATAACGACGAACGTAGAGCGATTATAAGGCTAAAAATACATTTAGCATGCGCGCTCGTTACCTTCTAAACTGCTACTACTTGCAGTTACTGCTGCTGCTACCACGGCTGCTACTATTTTACTGCTTCTTCTAATACCTTTACTCTTACGGTACTGGTGCTAGTAAAATTTATATTAATACTAATACCATTATTAGTACTACTGTCTACTTCTACAAATATTGTCGTTAAAGTTGCTGCAACTAGTGCGATTGTTACTATTACTACTACTACTACTACTACTACTACTACTACTACTAATACTACTACTACTACTACTACTATTACTATTACTACTACTATTATTACTACTACTAATATTACTATTATTATTACTACTACAACAACTACTACTACGACTACTACTACGACTACTACTACTACTACCATTACTAATCTAAATTTTAACTGAAGTGAAAATCTATTTATTGTTGAAAATAAACAACAACACACAACAAAAAATTTACCACAAGGCAACAACAACAACATCAACAACAACAACAGCAGCAGCAACACAAAACGCTAAAACAACACCAAAAAACAACAAAAATACAGCTACAATGGCGTCGTAAAACAACATAGATAAAAATAATTACCGCTATTATTATTTTGTTTATACTTTTTTTTGCAATTAATTTGAAATTTATAACTGCCGTTACTGTACTTAATAATTATTTTTAAATTTTTTATTATTATTTTTTTTATTTTTATTATTACAAGACAGATATCACGGTGGAGAGCCAGCCAAATAATTAAATCCGAATTAATTATCGTCAATAAATTATGAGTGATGTTACGTGTGATCCCATTGTTTCACTCGCACACACACACACTCTCTCTCTCTACTCTTTCGTTTCTCACTCTCTTTCTCTCTACTCTTTCATTATTTCTCTCTCTCTCTCTCTACCTACTCTTTCATTATTTCTCTCTCTCTCTCTCTCTCTCTCTACACTTTCATTATTTTTTTTTCTCTTTCTCTCTCTCTTTCTCTCTCTCTCTTTCTCTCTCTCTCTTTCTACCAGTCTTTTTCTCTTTCTATCAGTTTCGCCTTTTCTTTCTTTTCCTCTCTTCGTTCTCTCTTTTATAATCCTTTCTTTCCTTCTCCTTTATATTCTTTTTTAAT